TCTGTTCTCACAGATGTTCTCTGTCCCTGCAGGTGGCTGGAGGAAGGTCAGGCTGTGCCCCAGCTGAGCTCCCTGTCCCATCCCCTGGGTCATTCCAGCCTGGGAATGCTGTGGGCACACCAAGGGACACCCTGGGGTGGCTGTATTGCTGAGGGAAAGGAACAACTGCAAATTTGAGACTGCTTTGTGTTTGACTTCCCTCCTTCTCCCCCTTCATCTGACTTTTATTTCCATTTCTCAGTGCCTCTAGGAGCAGCACAGAAGTGAGAGACTATCTGTAGCACTCCAAGATGATCCATTTAGCCAGACCCTGAGAAGTTTTATTGTGTTGCAACAGAATTTGCTGCACTTTTGTGCTACAAATTACTTTCTAATCTTTTGGTGGCATTCCTAGCTCTTCATTTCATTTTTCTATCGAGTCATATCACATCAGAAGTTTGTTTTGTTTTGCTTTTTTTGTTGTTTTTTTGGGAGAGGGGGATAAATTCAATGTAATTACTGCTTTCAGGTGTTCAAGTCTTCTCTTGTGTGTGTAGTTTACATCCCTTGCATCTGTGTGTGCACTTAACTTTTTTCTCCTGCACTCCTGTACTAGCCATAGCTCTTCTCTCAGGTAGAGGCAATAACAAAGCAGTTAATTTCTCTTGTATGTTTACTTCTGCTGCCAGATACTGGTAAATGCAATTGGGAAGCCACTTGCCAGATGGAAATAAGATGAAATTACTTGTTCATTTCCCATGACAATATAAGGATGTTTTTGTTCACTGTGTGAACAGACTTGACAGAAATTGGAGGCTTAGGCTCAGGTTGAGGTAGGCTAAAGTTCACCTCAATATCTGCTTTCTCCATGCTGTAATTCAGTGTACTCCTTTTTAACTCCCTTTAATTTTCATCCTCATTGTATCCATGACTGACAGTTTTTTCTGTAAATTCTTTATTAGAATGATTCATTGATAATTTAAAGAAAGAAGGGAATTTCATATGAACTGGACATTTCAGCTCATAATAAAATGCTTTAACAGCTTCAATATCATTAAATAAAATCATATGTATTTCAAAAATTTAGTCATGGCCACTTCAAATGCTATTCAGTAGCTAAAGTAATGAACAGGTGTAAAATTATAATTTTCAAGAATAATGTATGCTTCCTTTTTTTTTTAATTTTTTTCTACAGAAGTAGAAAAGTACTGATGGTAGGATTTTTTTCTACCTTTTTCTACTTTAATTAAGTCTCTAAAGTATTTCAACCTGTTGATGTATGTTCTTTGCCATGATTATCATTAGCCCTGCTTGATGTGTTTTAAGCTTCCATAATGTTTTGTTTAGGGTTTGTGTGCCCTGGCTGGGTTGGGAGGGTTTCAAGCAGGGCACTTGCAGTGGGATTAGAGGAGTTCCCAGCTCAAGGTCTCACTGGAGGCACAGCTGGAGCTGCCCATGCACTGGGAAATGCCAGATCAACAGCAAACAATGCCTTGCAGCTTCTTGCATCAGCTTTTTCCCTCCAACACTCATAAACAAATGTGTTATTGCTAACTTAATAGAGCTCTAAATTAGGAAAAAGTCATGTAGTGCTGGTGTTTACATCTGTGTTTGCTGGTCTCCAGAAAGAATCTGTGTGTGCTGAAGGGCACAGGCTCTCCTCTGGCTCTGTCGTGGTGGCTGTCCTTCCCTGTCCCTCTTCTGTCTGTCTGGGGTCAAGAATAAGGAAAAGCCCACCCAAAACCTTGTACAGGTCTAGTGGTGTGAGGTGATTGTGCCTGAGTGGCTCAGCAGCTGCACTCCCCAGAGCACACTCACTGCTCCAGAGCTGAGCTGACCTCTTCCTTCAGTCTTCTCTTGCTTCATCCGTAGTGGTCAGAGGGTGAGGAACATTCCCCTCTGCTGCACCATTTTTTTTTTTTAAACTGACCATTTCTGGCATGGAAACCTGGGTATGGCAGCACCAGCTCTTGGTGCTGTCTGTAAGACTGGTTGTTTTGGAAACAAGCTGATTTTGAATGAAGATGTAAGCCAGAACCATTATCAAAGTGCTGTAATGAATAATCACAGCACTGAGCTCCAAGGTCTGCATGAAGTAACACAGCTGCTTTAGCATCCGGATTGATTTTTCATCTTGCTTTTCTGAGCTGCCCTGTGCTGCCTGCTATAAAATCCTTCTTTCATCTCTCCCTTTGGTTCTGTGGCATCAAACCAAAAAGTGTCTTGTCTTTGAACAGGCACTTGTGAAAGGAGAGCCTGACGAGGGGCGGGAGGTTGGTCAGCAGTGGTGTCTTGAGTTCTGGAAAGTATCAAGTATCTTTTTAATTGAGTTAATTATTTTTCCAAATTCCATCATCCGTGCTTGTGTGACAGTTGAATCACTGCTGAAATGGATAGTGGGAGCAGAGCCTCTGGCAGAAGAGGGATGAGCTTTGGAGAGCTCTCTGATGCTCCATGGCATCTCAAGCATGGCTGAAACGGTGGTGGGGAGATTCTAGGAGCTGCCTCATCTAGAAATTTTAGTAGGGTCTCTTTCTGCCTGTGAATTTGGGCTTGGTAAGATTTGTGTTGATGATGTATTGTGGCTTTAGTGCAGTCACAAAAGCATCTGGTTCTGGTGTTTCTCTGTTTTTTTTGGAATTGGCATGAAGTGAACTTTGAAGTCTCATGCGTGGGAGGAGAGAACGTCTTTTAAAGAACATTTCCTCTGGCCTTTTTCAAGTAGAAAAAAAATTATTCTAACCCAGACATCTGATGTTTGTTAAAGGGATGGTCTGTAAGTAGTGCTGTTGCAGCCCTTCAGGCCTGAGCAGGTCAGAGGAGCCATGGTTTGTTAGGAATGTGTGATGTGCTGTGGTTTAAATGTAGCTCCTGATTTTACAGCCAGTAGAGTGCACCTGCTCACAGGTGAGAAGGGGTGATAAGGAAAACTAGTTCTGTGCCCTGTACAGGCAGAGTTCCTCTTGTGAATTCTGCCTCAGCTCACCCTCTGTGTGTCTGTTTATAAAATATTATGTGTTTAAACCCCAAACTACTTTCTTTTTTGTTACTGTAGCAGCTGAATAACTTAATACCTGTTCTGCATTGGGCTGCTGTAGCACCTTTGCCCTTGAACGCTTGCTCACAGGGTTGTTTGTCTTCTGTTCTTTCTGACTTTTGTAAATTACCACTGTAGGAAGAAAGTTTCCTTTCTGTGAGGTGATATTTGGTAACAAAACCATTTATTACTCTTCTTTTCTTTTAAACTGTGACTTCTGCGGTCTGCCAGCCAAGGAGCTGGGTGTGTGTTTTATGCAGGTTTGTCTTTGGTACTCCCAACTCCTGAGGCAAGTCTGGGACCCTGTTTGTGGTGTTCAGAGCTTTAGAGATGATCCCTGGAGGTCTGGAGGGTTTAACTCTTGGACAGATGAGGTTTGCAGTAGGTCTCTCATCTTCTTGAATCACTCTTGTCACCTGTCTGAGCAGACACAAGCCCAGGCTTTCTCTGCTGTGACAGAACAGAACTTGTAATTGTCTTTCTTGCCTGCCCATGGGACAGCTCGTTTTTAACTCTTGGGTGTTTTTTTGTTTGTGTTGTTGAGCACCTGGTCTTATTTCCTGGCTTAATTGAGAGCAATTAGTGATAAGGGCCTGATTACTGAATGAAGTGTCACTTTAGGGTTTTAGATTGCAGCTGGGGTTGTGCTGGGGCTGCTGGGCTCCTCTGGTGATGGGCAGCTCCAAGCCAGCTGCTCGTGGCAGGCTTGCAGGCCAGTGGAAACAAGGGGAGAGCAAGGGCTGCTTTCTTCTAAAATAATTTTTCTTTTCACTTTTCTCTGATTTAGGCTCTTTAGAGGTAGCTGGGGCTGAGGGCACTGCCTGGGACTGAGTCAGTTAGTGCTGGCCAAGAGAAACTGATTATTCAGGGCTAGAAACCCAGCAGAATTCCTTTGTGCCAGATGTTTTCCTGGTGGTAATGGGTGTGAGGAGACAAATACCTGGTCTCTTTTTTATTTTTAGTATTAATTTAATTTTAATATTTATTTTTTATAATAAAATTCTTTTTTTTTTTTTAATTAAAGAGATTGAAACTGAGGCTTTATGTTATTCTTCACAATAAAAATTAACATTTTTTCCTTAGGAAATACCTGTAATGAAGCCCACGAAGGCTCATTACAGTGCAAAAAAAAAAAATAGTGCTCAGAGAACAAAACTGTATTCAGTCTGCTTGAAACTTCATCTTAATTTGACTTTCCAGTTTTTCAGTTACTTTTGAATGACTTAAAATATTCATTAAGTTCAATTAATGTTAAGCACATTAAGATTCTGTTCCTTCAGTGCCAAATATGTTATGTGATATTTAAAAGGAAATAAATCCTTGTTAATGGGTTTACTTAATGCTTAAGAAAATTCTGTAAAAATTGACTGTTTTAAATTATGCAAAAAATCAGCTTATATTTTAGGTGCTCCAATGCCACATTCCTTTCCATATAAGTTCAAGTGCTGAATATAAGACTAGTGAGTTGTGCTAATTTAAAAGGAATCACTTAAAAATATACACTGTTTTCTTAGTTTTGCTCTTTACCACTGACAACATAAATAATTAATAATAAACCTTTGTTCAGTGTGAGAAATATCAAATGATTTATGTTGCTGGTTTTGGATGAAGAACTTTCAGATATTATTAATGTTTCAATAGAGGGCACTCATGTGCTTCGAGGTAACACCAAATCCCTGTATTTTTAAAAATGCTTGCAATGAATTGGAGCTGAACTGAAATTTCATGGGGTTAAAATATATAAATATTATTTGGTAGTGCTTGGGAAAATTGTTCATTGTCATATTTTTATTTCTTGTTCCTTTCAATTTTGGACATTTGCTTTGTTTGTTTGGATATTTTACAGCAGGTGGAGGCAGTGCAGTCACTTTGCCTTGAACTGATTGTAAAAGATGTATTATTATAGCTTGCTAATGGACTTGCTGTTAGCTAAGATGGAACTGTTGTAATAATGAATAGAATTTAATAAATACCTTCTTTCCAGCCAAAAAGCCTGTAGAAGAATCAGAAGAAAAGAAAGCAGCTCAGTCAAAGAAGAAGATCAAAGAATTAAGAGTTTTGGATGGAAAATCTGCACAGAACTTATGTAAGTGATGTGAAGGGCATTAGGTCAATGTCTAAGTAGCATCTGCACCTCAGTGTTCATAAATTGTCTTTTTTTGTTTGCACATGCAATTAGTTTCTCTAAAAACTGATTTGAAAATGAGTCTTAAATTTGAACATGAGTCTTAAATTCCGTGGTGTTTTTAATTCACTATATAACTTGGGAAAAATGAAAAAAAGTAACATGGAAAAATGATTTAATGAGTGACTGGGGTTTTTGTCAGTTAATTCCCTCGATTAACTGACAGAATTAACTGCTCAGGACTGGAAGTGCAATTCAGTGGTCACTGATTTGGGCAGAGCACAGTGTGGGGGGCGTTTGTGGGAGGGGGTTTAGGGACAATTCCTGCCTGCTCCTTCTCCAGAGCAATGCAGAATTAGAGGTTCAGGGGAAGGTGTTACCAGGTAGGCTACAGAGGTGCAGGTACTGCTACAAATTGTACCAAAACCAGCCCACTTGTGGCATTCAGCTCGCTTCTCTCCTCCTTAATTATGGAGGGAAATCAATCATTAGCAGTAGTGGAGTCTTTTATTTCCATCAGAAACTCCATAAATGTCACTAGTCCAACTGTGCCCATGGCAAATAAGTGTGTAAACCCAAATGTGGGCATTGTTTAGTGCCACATCTGTGAGCAGAAAATGAGCTGTGTTAGAATAGTTCACAATTGATGGAAAACTTCAAATTATGGAAGCATGGATGCAGGATAATCAGGCACAGTAGTTAGGCTGAATATAAAGCACTTTTTTTACAATGTTATGCTGATCCATCTGTTAAGAATTCTTTGTAGTTTACTGAATGGGGCTCTCTTGAGATTTTATAACATTCTGAGATCAAATTGCTTTGAGAGCTGCACCTTTGAAGGGTTTGCATTGTGTGTGTCTCTTGTATAAGTTCAGTTACACTAAAAGTGGTAAAGTTAAGGCATTTTCTTACTTTGCCCAGCTCTTCATTACCACTTTGATGTGAAATCTTTTCTAGAATATCACATAAATATCATTGACCCAACTGTAAGTGCAGTACAGGTATTCATACATGGTTATGGAACCAATAATAATAATAGATAAAGATATCTATTATTGGCTGAGTAGGTCTGCTTAAGCAGGAATGCAGATGTCATTCATAAAGATAAAACTTTAATGGAAAGTAACATTGCTAGAGAGCAGCTGAGCCTGGTTTAAAAGTTAAAATTGTTGTCATAGTTTCATTTCTTAAAGAAAATTCATTATAAGTCAAATTGCAGTATTGTGCCCATCTAGCATTTGTTTATATGGGAGACTTCTTAACTGTGACACAATTTCGATGGGGATGTGACTTTTTGAGTTGCTAGAAATGGTTTGCCTTTGTGTATCAATCTTTTTTGACCTTTTTGAGTCTGATGATGTATTATTGAATTTCAGCAATATTTTTGGGTTCCTTCCGTTTGCCTTACGAAGAAATAAAAAATATCATTTTAGAGGTTGATGAGGAGAAGCTGAGTGAATCCTTGATTCAGGTATGTGAAAATACCTCTGCTTTTGGTTATAGCTCATTTTCCACATGAAACTGGCAGAAGGAGTAAGAATTCAAGAGTAAGACAGGGCGTATATAAATAAATGCAATTTACACTTTAAAAAATGCAATATTTTAATGCATTATGTTTAAAAAATATGATGTATTAAATGCAAATCTACACTTTTACTGAGTATTTCTTAAAATAAACTATTATTCAGTCATAATATAAATATTTGAAATACTTGCCATGTCTGTATTTTGACACCTGAAGATCATACAATAACTCACCATTTTCTTTGGGGACATGAATAAGACTGCCAGCAAATTGAACTTTTGCCTGAGTCCCTGTACATTTGCCATCCAAAAGATCTGTACAATTTTGGGTTGCTGACCTTTTTTTATAAGGTATTTTTAAGTGTATTTTCTGCACAGATATTTTGAATGTCTAATGGTTGTAATTTTTTTTTTTTTTGCTACTTTTGTCATGTTTTACACAGACCAGTTATCTTTTGATTGATATTTAATGAGCGAGATGCGAGCATTAGGGCAAAAGGAGATTGTAGAGAGACAAAGCTCATTGAGGCTGTCAGGCCCTGAAAAATGATACTGTAACCTTTTAATACATTCTTCAAATCAGAGACTGCAGCAGAGCAGCTGATGTCTGTATTAAATAATTGCTGCTTTGATTTGATGTTTATATAATGTTAAAGCTGCGTAAATAAAATAAACCTCCCGTAATTTCCTCGTGCATTTCCATGTTGTGGTATTTTGAGCATGTTATTTTTATTATCTTAGGTAGTTTAATGTAACAAATTTGATATAATGCCTTGTTTGTTTTAGAACCTGGTGAAGAATCTTCCTGAGCAGAAAGAACTCAATGCCTTAGCTGAATTGAAGGATGAATACAACGATCTTGCCGAGCCTGAGCAATTTGGAGTTGTGGTATGTGTTAGTGCAAGGATGAACTGCAGAGTTCCATTCTGGCACATAAAAAGAAACAAATTTAAGGTTAAAAATCTTATTTTACTGTTTTTGCAAGACCTGCAGTAGGAAAAGTTGCTGTTTCCTGATGAGTAGTAATCAAAAAAATCTCTTCAGTATGTATTAGGCCAGCCTGTGACCAGCCAGATTGGAAGCAGCTCATCCTCAGGGTCCTTTCCTGTGTGAACCCCTCGGATTCCGGGATTTTGGGTGTTTTTCTGGAAGGAATTACAGTGTAGCATTAAAAGCAAGGCACTCCTGTGCCAGACCAAATCTTTTTTCTGCCTGTCTTGCCTTGAATGTTTATTAAACAGTTCTGAAGAACGCTCTGCCTTCAAGCAGATAAATTTCCAGGAGCCCATAGAAGACCCAGTTACTCCTTGGCATTGATAACTCTGATAAATTAGTTTTGTATCAAAACCTGAAAGAGTTAATATGTGCACATCCATATTTGATATGTTGGTATGCATACACATATCAAACATCTGTGTTTTTACCAACACAGATGTGTTTGATATGTTTTATATAACACATGTCTGTGTTTATACCAACACCAACCTGCAGAATGGCTCAGGAGAGGTGGGAATTGATACTGGAGCTGAAATTGCAGCTTGTGTTCTGCTCCTTTCAGTCCCTGGATCTGTTCAATGGCTGGGGCCTCTCTGGAAGGGAATTCCAGCATTTGCAGGAATTCTTTAGTCCGTGTCTGGGGTGAGGGTGGGACCCTGAGTTCCTGCCAGCCCTTGGGAATCACTTTCTGCTCCTGGTCTTCCGAAGAGCTCAGGAGTTTTTAGGCAAATGAGCTCCTGTTTTCACTTCCCCTCTCAGCCCAGGAGATTAAAATGATGATGAGAGCCTCTGGAATGTGTTCAGGATTTATCCCCAGCTCCACGGGAGCCACGTTTGCTCTTGCTGGATTTTTAAGGCATTATGTACATTAAAATGCATTAAAACAGAAATAGAGGCCTCTTAGAAGACTTTTTTTACTAAAAAGCTCTGATTTGAGCATAATTTGGCTTCAGAAGTGGCTTTTGAGTGCTTTTTTTTTTTTTTTTAATTATTTTTCAGTTGGGGAAGTAACAGAATATGATTTGTCCTAATGAGATTTTTGGAGAGGATTTAGAAAATGAAAGATATCAATGGCTTCTTTTGCGAAACTTTAGCCTATTGATTTCCTTTTCTTTTAATAAATGGCATAAAGTTCCAAAAATATTTTATTTCCAGACAGAGATGAGGAATTTTGATGGAAGTGGAATACATTAATTAGCCTTACCTGTAGAAGTAAAACATTGCCATTTATTGATCAGTAGCAATCTAAAAATCTCTATAAATACATATTTGCTGCTTTCTTTGAAGCAATAATAGCATGGATATATATTTAAAATATAAACATGTGTGTTATGTCTTTAGACAGACCAAAACTTATCGATGAATATGTGTATTGTGATATATGCATATATTATACATTATACTATATATAATATTTCACATATATATCTAGATATATAAAATAAATAAATATATATAATTTTTATATTTATTATATTGATGGGTATATTCCTGCCTACCTAGATATTGTCAGACAAAGTGAGCAGTTCCTTGGGTTTTGAGCAGGGAGCATATCTGGAGTGTGTTGAAGGGAAATGCTCAGTGGCAGCAGGCAAGCTGGAGGTGTTAGGACAAAGGAAGCCTCTGATGTTTGGGAATTCTGTTCAGTTTTCTGCTGAAAATCAGCAAAGAATTCGACAAAATTGTGCCTAATGACCTTGACTGAAAGGGCTGTGTAGGCATTTCAATGTGTTTCTGCTGTAAATTCCTCAGTGCTTCACCCTGATCATTTAACTTGGGTCATGTCCTGCCCTGCCCCTGGCACAGTCCCCTCCACAGCCATCACCTGCCTTGTCTCCCTGCTCTTTGGGTGAGGATGCTGACCCCACCTCTGGGGCTCCTGGGTTCCTCCAGGTCAGGATTCCTGCTGGCTGGAGCTGGAGGCCTGGCCTTTTCCTATGGGAGTTGAAAAAGCCACAAAAGTTCCTTTATTTCCCAGCAGTGCCAGGGTGGCCACGGTCACTGTTCCACTGATTTCTGAGGAAACACTGACTAGAGTAAGTTGAGAGAGTTTCCAAGTATTTAATGCAACATTAATTAGCAAAAACTGCTTAATCAAACATCTCCAAATGGTGCTGTTTGCCTTCTGAAGGAACCAAGTTTCCTGGAGCTTGTTTGCTTATTCAGCTTTACCATCTGCTTTAATAAAAGCCATTACTTTGCCTTATGGGTCCTGCTTCTGTCTTGTTTCTAGAGGCCTCTAACTGCACCACTGGTGCTAAAATGCTGGGTTTGTTTCTGATTATGATATCATGGAACTGTCCATAAGTGTGGAAGAAATGCAGCTGAACTTAGTCTTGACTGAAGTTCTTTTTTCTAATGTGTCAAATTAATTTTGGAGTTTCTCATAAATAATAATCTCAACCTCGGCTTTAGGAATAGAAGACAGACTACCTTAAATAATATTCAAAGTGTGTCCCCGTGTTTTTGTGTAGATTTAGGTGTGTTAATTATTAAGATACGTTAATTGGATAATCACTTTGCCCATCAAATTTAATAAAGGTTGGAATAAGTTGCTTAAAGTTTGTGTGGAAAAACCATACTTAGTAAAAGATTAACTTATTTGAAGGAACCGATTAACTTAATATTCAGCTGATATGTAAATGAAAATTAGAACTGCATTTTCCTTTAGATGAATGTTAAAATCAATTACATATTCTAATGAGTTATTGGAACTTTTTGAAGTTATATCCTGGGATCAAAAAAGGCACCACAACTTCCTCTAGAGGAAACTTTGCATAGATGTTGAAGTAGAGCAAGAAAAATTCATTAACTGAATCATCTGTGTACCGTTGGCTCAGCTGGACAGGATGTTACCTGAGTTCTACACCTCAGCCTTGTGTTCAAAGTTCATTTGTTTATGATGTGGGAATAGCTGCAGCTTCAGTGAGGAGCTGCATTTCCAGCTGAACATTTTTGGTATTACAAAAGCATAAATTGGACTGAGGAATTGTATAAACTTGTATATTCTGTGATCCCTTTTTCTCCTGTGTAACCAGCTCAGCTGTCATGAGCAGTCCTGGCTGGGAGGCAGACAAAGTGGGGAGAATTGTACAAGTTTATTGCACCTCCATTGGTTTAGAGTCATTCAGTCTTTCAAATTGAATTTATTGGCTGCTTGTTTGGCCTCATTGTAATTTTGTGAGCTGCTGCAGAATTAATCTTCCTAGAACGTTTCCAGGGGAAAAAAGGCAACTTTAATATAACATAGGTAAGAGGCTAAGTTGTCTTAGTAAGTTGACAAATTTTTATTAGAGGAATGTCAGCTTTTTCTTAGGAAGTGAGGCAAATTTAATTGTGCTTTTTGCCTTTCTCCAATGGCCTTTGATCCTCGTTTTAATACAGGGCTTGAGAATTGAATGATGATAATAAAGCATAAAGAACTGAATAAAGAACTTGATTAGGTAGAGAGTTCAGACAAGACCTTTATGAGAGCCCAGAAGGGGAAATAATGATATGCAGCCCATCACTGACAGTCAGCTGGAAAAGAAATATCCATTTCTTTAACTGTTTACAGGGGAAGCCAGTGCTTGCTGTTCCATGCACCTGCTGGAATGTTTAATTTATTTTATATATATATAGATATAGATTTGCTTTTGACACTGATTTTATTTAGAACCATAAAGAATTTGAGCTTTCCAAGTGAATGCAGGCTTTGCTCCTTACCTAATTCTAGGAGATTTCTCCAAATTCAGTATGTGATCACTCCTTTCTGCCACTGAACACATGGATTTAGAAACAGGCCCACAAAAGGGGAAAGCAGGGCAGGGTGGGGCAGGAGGAACTGAAATAGCATTTGTGCCCATCTTCTGCTGATACCTAAAGGGCATTTTATGTATAAAAATGTTCTGGGTTTTAAGGAAACAACCCACATGAAAACAGCTCTTAGGAAATTATTAAGATAGTTTTAAAATATTATGTAGGTCAGGGAATGGAATTAAAACTTACTGCTGTGTTGGTGGCCAAAAGGTAATAAATGATCAGTGTTCCATGACGCTGCACAGCATTAAAGAAGAAAGGACACTTGTCTGAAGTTTAGGGATTATTCTTCACTAATGTTTATGTCACACTCTCCTGTGGGCTTGTACCTGTTTTGTTGCACTCTGGTTTTGGGATCTAAAGCTTTTGACAATTTTTTTTCTGTGCCATTTTGAGTAAAAACAGCAATTGGAGATTGTTCTACAAAAGTTAAAGCAAATTATGTGATTAATTTTAATTTCCATCTACTGCAGATTAGTGTAAGTAGATCCTTTCAAGGCAGATGTTTTCAGTATGATATTTCTGAAATACAGGATGATTAGAAGAATAATGTTTCAAGACTTTCAATGATTTTGGCTTATAGAGGCTCAGAGAGAAATTTGTGACAATGGAGATTTATAAAAAAAGATCACTAGTTCTGCTGAAATGCTTCTTTTCTGATCCTTTCCTTTTCCTTGTTCCAGCCTGATCATAGGAATTGTTTGAGACCATCTGGAGCGCCTTCATGTTTATGTTCATTTTAGAATGAATTCATTATTATTCAGGCCACTCAAGTCCTTCCTGTGAAAGTTATTGCTGCTGCTTCTGGTAGCTGGTGGGAGATAGCACTGCTAGAAAAATCGTGGTTCCTCAGAGGACCATGGCCAAATTTTGGCCAACAGAGACAGGAGAACATCAAAATCTTCCTGTTTTGAAAGTCAGGATCTGTGATTTGTCCCATAGCAAAGCTTTTCTTGCCAAGTGCTTCAGGAACACCCCTGATGGTGAATACATTGGGGAAGAAATCTTTCTGTATTCTGCTAAGTAAGATGAGCTAGATTTGAACATAACCATTCTTGCAATTAAATTGAAAATTTCAAGTGGTTTAACAATGCTCAGTACATCTTTTTTTTTCCTAATTTAAATTTCTCTTGTGAATTACGGTGTGCTTAGTGGGAGGAAATAACTCTGATCACTTGTGCAAGATACGAAAGATACTTTGTGACCCAGCCTGGTGAATTTGGTCTTGGGGATTTAAATTAATGAATCAGCATTGTAGATTATTTTCAGTATCTCTGTCTTGTGCTGTGTTACAACATCAGGATTGTAACCTCCTTGTCAGGATTTATAACCTCCCAAGGTTATAAATAAAGGATTATTATATTATATTATTATAATATATACAATATTAATTATAATATATATAATATATATATTATATTATTATAAAGGATTTATAACCTTTCTATCAGAGCAGGAAGGAATGAGTGCTGTGCTCTTTTCTGTCTGAAACACGGAGGTGCTGGGATGCAGGACAGGCAGTGAAAACATGCAGAAACTGTAGCCTTGCTGGCCGGTCCTGTGTCCTAACAGTCAGAACTTGAACTTTTTGATCTTTTGACAATTTGAGCTTTTCTGACAAGTCAGTGTTCGGTGGGTGACGTGTGCTGTGGCTGGCTGCCTGCAGATGAGCTCGGTGAAGATGCTGCGCGCGCGCCTCAACGGGATCCTGTTCCGGCTGATGTTCGAGGAGCACGTGAACAACATCAAACCCGACATCATGGCCGTGACCCTGGCCTGCGAGGAGCTCAAGAAGAGCGAGAGCTTCAGCAAGCTCCTGGAGCTGGTGCTGTTCCTGGGCAACTACATGAACTCTGGCTCCAGGAACGCTCAGTCTCTGGGCTTCAACATCAGCTTTCTGTGCAAGGTAAGCTGCAGGCACAGAGCGCTCGGGTGCAGCTCCTGGAACCCAGCACGCAGCAGGGGAAGCATCAGCCACTGAAGTTTAGTGACTGCACCCCTGTGTTTAGTCATGGACAGGAAGCACACAGTCAGCATTCCTTCGGTAACTTGAAGGTGCCTTTATTTTTTGCTCCTAAGGAACGTATTTCAGCCTTCAAGGTTGTCTAGCAGAATTTGGGAGCCTTTGTTTTGCATTTTATAATAGCTCCTTTCATGGTTATGTAGTTATATTATAACTATACTTATAATAACTCCTTTTTTAGACTAGTGACTATCATTTAGTGGACTTTCTGCCCATGATAAGAGATTTTTATTATTTTTTTGAGTCAGCTGTCAGCAAGGTGTCTGTCTACACATTTCTGTGTGCAGAATACACACACTTCATGATGAGGAATCCTAATGTGATGAATTCACTTTTCAATACAACCAGAGTTTTATATTGATTTTTTCTTTTTGCTTATTTCTTGAACAATCTTAAAATTAATTGTCTGTTTACTGGATGCAGTACTTACATTATGCAGTCTGAAAAAAAGAGGAGAAAAAAGGCAAGTATTGATCTGGGATAAATGTTTGGTTTTGGAAAAGAAATTGTTCTATAACAGAGCTGGTCATTTCGTACACAGAGATCTGGTTTTGTTAAAACTTTTATTAAAACGTGATAAAGAAAATAAAAGGAAGCACAACTCCAGCCTGTCTGGACTGAGCTAGAAGGCTAATGACTGAGGAGTAATTGCAAATCCTTAAAAACAGATTATCTCTCTGGATGTTATATTGCAGTGGATGATGTTATTGAAGATAGAAATGATCTGTAAACAATCTCTTGGCAGAAGGCAGAGAACTTAATTTTGTTCAAATAAGAGACATCATCATCAGAATTCCTGGGATGTATCAAGACTGGCCAGGGAGAGCAGCTATTCCTGTGCCTGCTCCAGAGCATCCTCAGTGCCTGAGCGTGGAATGCTCTGTGAAAGTAGAAATACAAAAGTGCTCCGGCTGAGGGAGGCTGCTGCAGTAATCCACTAAAGTTTGCTGTGTTTGTTTGATATGTCCAGAGGATCCAGCTGCTTTTTGAACCCCCAGTGCAGCAGGAGCCCCCTCAGGAGTTCCAAAATTCTGCTCCGTGGGAGGGGAACTGAAAGGAAAGAGAATTGTTTCAGGGATGTGCAGGTACAGCTGCTGGTCCTGTGGTGCTGAATTCAAGTGAGGAGCAAGAGCTCAGTTTCAATAAAGCTTTTGTAGCATTCTGGCTGGATCAATGTGTGTTCATCTGTTAAGTGCTGCTATGTTGCTTTTTGTTCATAGTGCAAATAGAACAAGACAAGCTGTTTATCCAGGCTGAGCATTACTGATGAGGGGACGTTTATTGTCCAGCAGCCCTTGTTCTGGGAAGGGGGGAAAGATTTCTAGGGTAGGAGAAGGTCTATAATCTCATAAAAATCAATAGAGAGCCTTTTTATAGCTATAATAAAGTGTCACTCCAGTGATGGCTCATACATAATTTTTCCCTTGCATTGGCTGCGGCGTTTAACCCTCACACCTGAGAGCTGCACCCAGAAGTACCTGGGAGATCCCAGCCCCAGTCTGGCAGTGCCTTGTGGTGTGATTGGCATGGGTTAAATGCTTTACTCTGTGTCAAGGGAGAGTTTCGTTCTGGTGGTGTTTTTCTGGCTTTTACAGAATTAAACATCTTACTCTGTGTAGCTCTTGATTTGAGTGGTTGTGCTGTGTTGTGCTCTGTGTCCCTTGGCCTTTAATCCTTCCCCAAGTCGTGGATCTCATGGTATTGACCCTCAAATTGATGCTTCAGCATTCAGCTGGAGCTGCTTTCTGTAGCCCACACTGATCTAGCAATTTATTTCATTTATTTTTAAACTGAATGTGTTATTTCCAAATTCTGTCTCTCAGGCAAAGAATGGCCCTAGACTCAAAACCTGTGTTTTAAAATTTGAACACCACAGTGTTAAAAATTTATCCTGAATCATAGAATGATAGAATATCCTGAGTTGGAAAGGACCCACGAGGTTCATCAAAGTCCAGCTCCTGGTCTTGTAAGCACAACTTAATAGGCTCTTTTTGCTTTTCATCCACTTGGCTGGAGTGTGTAGAGCAGCAGAAATCAGGCTAAGCCATTAGGTTCTTTACAAGCCAAGGAATGTTAGCAAAATTACTGCAAGTAAAAAGCTGAATGTAAAAAGTATTGCATTTATTGCAAAAAATTAAAATAATGGGTGGCTTATTGAATATGAGGGTATATTGAATATGAGGGTATATTGAATACAAGTACAGGGTGTGAATACAGACTCAGCCAAGCTGCCACCTGTTCAGTTCCTACTTTCATTTCTATTTTTATCTTTAAATATTATGTGCTAAACTACACTCAAACAGCAGCTATCTTATGTTTCCTTATACAAGTGGGCTTAGGAGTTGATTCTTAAAGTACAGACATTGATTCTAAACATCAAGCAGACCTATCTACATTGTGTTAAGAGTAAAGATGAATATAGCAGAGACTTGTTTATTATTGGGCCAAAGCAGTGAATTTGATACATTTGTTCAAGGTCTAAATAAATGTTTATTTAGATATTTATTTAGACGTTTACCTTTACTACAAGGTGCTAATGCTGACTCTTATTGTGATGTTGTTCCTGGTGGCAAAACATGTTCCTGTTGTAATTTGAAAGCAAAATAATTTTGTCCATTTAGAAAAAAAAGTGCTTTATCCACTTGATGATGTCAGAGAGATCAAAGACTGCAAATCCCACTACTGTTGTTCACAGACAAATTGAAATGCAATTTCTTTTTTCCATGCAGATGTTTAGCCAGTAAATCTACTAATTTTTTTTCAAGTCAGAAGAACTTCTGTGTATGTAACACATTAAAGCCCTTTAACTGCATACCATTACTGAGCATTGTTTAGTCTTTAATCGCTGAATTGGTATGAATTAAATTGCTTTCTTAATTGCCTAAATACCTTATATTTTTAAAAGCCTGTTTTTCCACTGCACTCATTTATTCCTAACAGGGTAATCCTTAAAGCTGAAAGGCCTATATTAAATTGAACATCGATGGCAAGCCTGTCATGAGGATTATAGAATTAGAACTTCAAGTGATTTAGAGAATGAGAAAACAAATAGGAGATTTTACACAAGCATTTATGTATTCTTCTTAAATAAATCCTTTATTTCATTTGTTGTGTATGTTGTAGCTTACTTCTGTGTAAGAACTGTACTAGATGAGTAAAATGCTGTTAAAACAACTCTTTCCAGATGTATTACTAATTCTTTGTCAAGTGCAGTGTGCTCCTCTCAAGCTCTTACCTGCACCTCCTCTGTCTTGCCTTTGTGTGTAAGAGGAAATCTCTGCTCCTGCTGGATCTTCCATCAACTCACACATCCCTTCTTCACATCTGCACAAAAATGGGCAAACTCAGGAATTTGGCCTTAAATTTGTTCTCTCATTATCTAAACTTCATGATGTTCCTTTGTCTAGACATGTGCACCGTGCCATGGGATTATTGGGAATGTGCCACTGGTCCTGTATTCTAACAATTAGTTCAGATTTTTATTTTTTTTAACTAAAAAAACTCATTTCAGCAGTTCATGCACTCAGGCTAATGGAGAACAGTCTTGTAACTCCCAAGAATAATGCTTTGTTTCAGGCCACTAAAAGTTGAAAGAACAGCAAAAATATGCATTTACCTGTTACTTCCCATTGTGCAGAGTTTCCCTGCAGCTTTTCATAAATGCAGCTGGATGCATTACATTTCCTTTAGCTAGTCAGGATTACCTTTGCTTTTTTGTTATTCTGCATTCTGGCAAGGCAGGGTGCATTTATGCAGTTTATCTCTGTAGAATTGTTCTCCAAATCTTTAGCCTAACACAGCACGGTTTAGATTTTGCTCCAAGAAAAAAACAGTGGATTTACAACAAGGAGTTACTTTAGTTTGACTGGTCAAAATGCAAATTCTGACTGTTAGCATGGTGTCCAGCTATGCAGCATTTCAGGGATCCCTGTAGTGATTTGGCATTGAAGGAATGCTCTAATTTCAGTTCTGTTTAATCTCTGTCCACAGCTATTTTTTATCTGGGGATTCTGAACTGGCGATGCTCAAATCTCAGAACTTTATGGACTGTCTTCAGATCTTGTTCTCATCAAAATTAATCATTATTTCTTAAAATACATCATAGGGTAGATTCCTTCTAGTCCTAAATTGTGACAAATTCAGAAATTTCATTTTTAAAATAATCTGTTTATTTGCAGGCAGCCGATGTAGGTAACTTTTTGCTAATGAGTTGAAGTCTGCAATATTCACTTTATTGAAACAGAAAACTTTTTTTTTCTTTCTGTTTTCTCCTGTGTTCACTGTTTTAGATTCGAGATACAAAATCATCAGACCAGAAAACCACCCTGCTGCATTTCCTGGCAGAAATCTGTGAGGAGAATTACCGGGACATCTTAAAATTCCCAGATGAGCTGCAGCACGTTGAGAGTGCAAGCAAAGGTAAGCAACACACAAAGCACCTAAAGATAGCAGTTGTTTGCTTTGATATTAAATATTTCCAGCATTTCATCTGAGATTGTGGGATTATGTAACCTGCAAGCATTGATAATCCACGTGGATTGTGCTTTTCTGGTATTTATCGAGCTGAGAAGTCAGCAGGGAAAAACAGCAACTCCTTTTCTTCTGTAGTAGGCTGTGAAAATAATACAGTTTATTTCAGTGAGGTGCTTGAAAAGGCACGGCTCAGGAGTTGTGGCAGCAGTGCTGAGTGTCCCATCAAACCTCTGAAGAGTGAGCTCTGAGTGTGCAAGGAGCCTTCACACACAGAGCTCCTCATTTCCACACCTGAGAGACAATAACAAATAAATAGCTACTCTATTTGTGCAAATAAATATATATATTTGTATATGAAGTGCATAATTACAAAATATGATATATAAAAATAGACATACTATAAATATATATAATAAATATGCATATTTATTATTTATGCAAATAAATAGCATGCTCTGGAAAAATCCCAGGTTGCATATGAATAGATCCAGTCCAGTTGTGCTGCCCAGGCCACAACTCATGATTATTTTTGGTCAGTGAGCAGGCCAGGCTGGGGATGTGGTAGCTGAGTTCACCTGTTGGCCACGTCCTCATGTGGCACAGCCTGGGCTGCTTGGCACCCTTGCTGCTGAGTTTTCTGCTCAGGCAGAAGTAGATGAAGATAACACAAACTTTTAATTGGCCTGTGTCATCAGAAGATAAATATAAATAATATAGATATCAATATCAGTATTAAACCCATAGATATAAGTAATATAAATATAGGTATAAATATAGGTATAAATATAGATATAAATATAAATATAGGTATAAATATAGATATAAATATAGGTATAAATATAGATATAAATATAGATATAAATTCCTGGGCAAGCACAAGAATATGAAGGAAAATAGAGGGCAGAAGTAGTTGGATGCACATTTCCACCACTCCTGGCCAGGTTTCCTCCTGGAAATGTTTCTCTCCTTTCCTCCAGTGTTATCAGTCAATGTGTCTCTCCGTGCAGTGATTAGATACTTTATTAATTAGGCCATCCCTTGCTCTCAGTCTGTGTTCTGGTGTCTGCAGCTGGCTGCTGGGAGCAGAGCTCCTGTTTCCCCGAGGACCTGGGCAGAGTTCATCCATCAGCCCAGCTTTGCCATGGCTTCACCTCACACTTCTTCACTTTTCTGTGTCTGCCTCTCTCACTTTTTTTTTTTTTTTTTTTTTTTTTTATAATATAGATATCAATATCAGTATTAAACCCATAGATATAAGTAATATAAATATAGATATAAATATAGGTATAAATATAGATATAAATATAGGTATAAATATAGATATAAATATAGATATAAATTCCTGGGCAAGCACAAGAATATGAAGGAAAATAGAGGGCAGAAGTAGTTGGATGCACATTTCCACCACTCCTGGCCAGGTTTCCTCCTGGAAATGTTTCTCTCCTTTCCTCCAGTGTTATCAGTCAATGTGTCTCTCCGTGCAGTGATTAGATACTTTATTAATTAGGCCATCCCTTGCTCTCAGTCTGTGTTCTGGTGTCTGCAGCTGGCTGCTGGGAGCAGAGCTCCTGTTTCCCCGAGGACCTGGGCAGAGTTCATCCATCAGCCCAGCTTTGCCATGGCTTCACCTCACACTTCTTCACTTTTCTGTGTCTGCCTCTCTCACTTTTTTTTTTTTTTTTTTTTTGCTGTTTCTCAAACTTTTCATGCACCTTTCTTTCCAGTTTTTTTTCTGCACACAACCTGTGTTTGATTTGTGTTGATTATGCTGCAGGAGGGTTCATTGGCCTGAGTCCCTGCTCTGGGATTTTTGGGGTGTCTGTGCAGGGCCAGGGGCTGGGCTCACTGATCCTTGTGAGTCCTTTCCAGCTCAGAATATTCTGTGATTCTGTGGACTAACATATTAATTAAGTTATTTATGCAAGTAGCACTTTGGCATCTTATCTAAATTCCAAAAATGTTTTTTCCCACTTGATAATTCTTTTCTCGAGGTGACTTTTCATCTTTTTCTTCCTTTCTTTGTAAAGTCTTCTGGTTTACCAGGCACTTTTGATGATCTTTTATGAATTTTCTTCTGTGGGTGACACTTGACCTTGCAGCTTTGAGATTTTTACAGTTTGATTCAAAGCCTCTGATGTTCTGTAAGTTGACTTGAGGAATTAAACTGGAAGAGTCAGTAAAGTTTAGTTAAGCTGTAGCATCCTAAACAGAAAAAGCATATTAATGGGAGCAAAGCCTCTAATAATTCTGGTGCTTAGAATACATATGAAAAAGATTTTATTGCAGTTAAATTTGTTTCATTCTGTAAGACAAAAGCTGCATTTCCTATAAACAGCACTGACTTCTAGCAGAGCATAAATTGCTGTTCATTTTTAATGACCCAAACTTCTCTTTCAGCCCTCCTTTGCTTTCTGGAGCAAGGCAGATTTTTGGCAGAATAAATGGGATTTGTGCAAGTTGCTTCAACTGCTCCCCATGGTGTTTCTGGGGGTTGGATAATTGTAATGTTCATCTGCTCTGTCACACGTGGTGCTTTTCCTGTGCAGGAATTTGAAGTGGAGGAGGTTTGCACTTCCTATTTACTGTTTGGTGTTTTATAAACCAGTGGTTTTGGGGACGGACAGTTGGGTTTATTTTTCCTGTGGGAAGCCTCTTTTGGAATAAATTGGCTGGATATGAGGATGCTGGCATCAGTTATTCATAAAATAGGAAGAAATCTACCAGCAAATATTATCTCTGCATGAATTTGAAATAAGGAAATGTGAGCCAGGCAGGTGAGTGTCGTTGCTTGAGATGGATGCTGGTTCTTTTTAGTCAGGAGGCAGCCTCGTGGTCTGGGCTGTGCAGAACCTTCCAAATGCTGCACTTGGCACCTGCAACTTCTTTTCAGCTTTGGCTACATATTCTCACTTCCATGTAAAGAAAAAAAAATCCTGTTCATCTTAATTTTCATAGAAGAATAAAGAACCAGCATCTGAACAACAGTTGATTTTTTTTTTTTAATTTTTGGTTTTTTACTTTTTAACAAAGAGCAGATAAAGCATAAAACTGGATTTTAATATGAAAAGGTCAATGGGATTAGATGAACTCCCCACGCATGTACTAAAATCTTCAATAATCTGATATTAGGTACAATAAAATAGTTGATCTTTTTAAAGATGGAAGATCAACCTGCAGCTTTATGAAAAGTAAAAATAAATTAGGAAACAGTTTTATTCTGGAAAATGCAAGCAAAGGTCAAAGTGATTAACTATCAAGAGATCATTGGAAAAGCATTTCTTCTTCCTGGAAGCAGACTGTGAAAGGAAAACCAATCAAAACTCAAAGGCTGTGATGCTGTGCATTGTTTGATGCCAGTGATTTCCTTTCCCCCCTTTCTTTTTTTTCCCCCTTTCTTTTTTCCCCCCCTTTTTTTTTCCCTTTCTTTTTTTCCCCGTTCTTTTTTTCCCCCTTTCTTTTTTTCCCCCTTTCTTTTTCCCCTCACCTTTTTTTCCCCTTTCTTTCTTTTCCCCCTTTCTTTCTTTTCCCCCTTTCTTTCTTTTCCCCCTTTCTTCTTTTCCCCCTCTTTCTTCTTTTCCCCCTTTCTTCTTTTCCCCCTTTCTTCTTTTCCCCCTTTCTTCTTTTCCCCTGTCCTTTCGAACCAGACCCAGCCCTGCTGGCCCATTCACTCCACTTGTTATCCCTCTTCTTCTTCTCAGGGTATTTGCTCTTCCCACTTTATAACCTCAGCTTTTTATTTAAGACCTGAACAATTCCCATCCTGTTTTGGGCTTCAGTCAAATTTCCAAACAAAACCAAGAGGTACCTTACAAGTCAGATATTTCTAGACAGCCATGTGGTTAAAAGTATAGTTTGGAATCGCTCAGAAAATAAATATATTTTTAAAGTTAAGGCTCTCCTGAGTGTCAATTAAGCCTCTCAGAAATCATAAAAGTGAAATAGATAATACACAGAATTAAGGTGATTAAAATAAGTTAATCATGTGTTTTATAACAGCAACTTGATTTTAGATATTAAGAGGAGCAGTTTTACATCCCAGATTGTGATTCAGCCATTGTGCCTGTAAATAATAAAGCATTAAAATAAGCCATAGCCATGTCTTTATCTGGTGGATATCACATTCCTGATGTAGCTGTTCCAGCAGTGGCACTCACTGGGCTGTGCAGAGTCACAGCAAATTGAGATTAACTGGGAAAGGGGGATATATGTAATATAAATATCTGTAATTTTTAGTCTCTTTCAGTAATAACTGAGTTCTTTGCCTGATATCAAGGTGTGCCTCTTGATAGTTCTTTTAAAGTGGTGTTGAAAGTAAAATCAAGTGAAAGGTGCCTTGTGGGGATGAATTAGGTCTGTGCAGAGGACTGAAAAATACCAATAGCACAGCACAGATTTGTCACTCACTTGGACTTTGGAATTTATTTCATTAATTTGCAAGCACATGGTTCTGATGGTGGAGGCATCTCTCTAGAAAGGCCATTAGCAATGGAAACACTGGGGAATGCAAATATGTGTGTACTTTTTATTACAAATACCGTAATAAAATATTAATTTTGAGATTTTATACAGGTACTTCACTGTGATTTAATGGCATCATTTTAGAATGGGGGAAATATTTTAAAACATCCTGTGCCGCTGTCACTTTGAAGCACAGCAATTTAAAACATGCTCATAAGCAGCAGCCGTTTTTCTGTCAGACAAAAGTTTTACAGTTTGTTGCAGCAGAAAAAACCCGGGTTTTAGCAAAGAGATCTGCAGCATTTCCACCTTGCACAGCTGAAATTGCTGAAGCAGGTTTTGCCCAATCTGGCACATGAGAGGTGGAAAGCAGAAACCTCACAGGTGCTTCTTGTGCTGTAGTTCTGAGCTGCAATTTCTCTAAGGGATCCTTTTGGAGCCTGGCTGAGATTCTGGATTGCCTCACACTTTGCAAAATGGCTTAGTGA